TTTAATACACGATTAGGCATGATGACGACTTTTTGAGCGTCGCTCATACTCTGTCACACCCAGTCGCTTTCGTATTAAATGAGGGTTAGATGTAATAATGACTTCGCGAAGGGAGCTCGCACCCCGTCATTATGTTATTATTATCACATTAAATGTGATATGATGACTCCTGCGAATTCGCCCGACTAATTGTTGACAGGTGTAAGGCGTAAACAAAACGTAATTTTCCACCGGCCAGGCCAGATGACCAATCTGCCCTCGATATCTCTTACAAATATAAGAGATCCTTACCATTCCAAGGTACAAGCTCTCTAAACCCAAAACTTAGTTTTGTATTTTCCTTGAAACCAATTATACTAGATACTGACTTGAGCGTTGGAGGGCACAATGGAGGGCACAATGGGAGGAAATCTCCTCCGGGCCCCGTAACATTTGTTGCTTGTATAGATTTGTCTTTCCCAATGTGACCAGTGATCGGAGGAGATTAAGTACCCCCATTAATCTCTCATTAATCTCTCATTAATCTCCCCCTCAATATCCACAGATTAACCTTCCGACATAAACAGTGGTAATAGTTTAATTGTGTGAGAGTCGTCTAGTTGTTTAGTTGTATGTCAGGTAGTTGATTAGTCGTTCTTTGTCTACCTGTCAGAACACAATTTGTCTTCTTTTAAGAGTAAAAGAGTTTAAAATGGGGTAAATTTCACAAAAAACCCCTGATACTTTGAGGAATTTGTTACAAAACCCCCAAGAACTTTATTCTTCCCGCTGCACACCCAAAACTTTTGTGGTATGAACATAGTTCCTGGGGGTTTTGTGGGAAACGCCCCAAAGTTTTGGAGGGGTTTGTGAAATTTGCCAAAAATCACTTGGGGTGTCTGTCTGCAAAAGAGAGAGAGAGAGAGAGAGAGAGAGAGAGAGAGAGAGAGAGAGAGTATTTAGCAAGTTTAAACAAGTGGCATTACAGGGAGTCTATCCACAATCAACCCATTTATTTAAGATATTTTGATAAAAGAAAATAAGTTTAACTTGAATTCCAAGTCAGTTTGATTTAGATAATACGCATATCGATCTGTCTTACATTTTCTTTATTTCTACTAGACCCTTAACCCTTGACATTTCTAGATGTGACCTCTAATTCTTGTAACTGATTTGTTTACCTAAGCATGGTTAACCATTTAGAGTAATTTATAGTAGTAACCTTAGGAATTCCACCCTCATTCTCCACCCTACACTTGTTTCTAGGTTTATATATATGTCTTTCATCTCTCTATTTTACTCTTAAAAATCTCGAATGATAATATGCTTAAGAAGCTAAAAAGCGAAACAGTAGATTGAAGAAAGAAAACGGGAGAGAAAGAGACAATAATTAAGCATAAAGCAGAGTTGGAGAGAGAAAGAGAAGTTAGGGAAAGGGCATTTTAAATGAGCTAAAATGTTCTACTAAAATAAAATAAAATTGCTAACGTCACAGATAAATTTAATAAATTAAAATTAAAATTAATCTAGAGGTCCTTTTTGAACCAACTTAAAAGATTTAAGGGCCTAATATAGAAATAAAGAAGACGTGGGGTCTCATATACCATAAAACCCCAATAAAGAAAAATAGAAACCCAATAAAGGAGGAGGAATCTAATTTTTTGTACTCGTTGGGAAATATAAAATAAGAGTAGAGAAATTAACGTAAACCCACCAGCCTCCAAAACTTTTATTTGGGACCCTGCCGACAGTACGAAGCGCATTTTTTTTCTCCGTCTGGAAAAAAAAAAATGCGCATAAACTACTCAATAATCTAACTGTATTACTATTAATCATTCGGCCGGCTGCTAATTATCCCTTCATACATTGAAAGTTAAAAGAAGCCAAGAGACTAAAAATTAATACGAACATGATGATTCTTTCTAGCTTTCTATTTCCACTTCCATCCTCGATCTACATCTACTATGCACCGGCGATCATGGTCATCGCCTCTGGTTTTTTGGGGATTTCTGAAGTTTGTGGCCAAAACGTCCCGTACTCAAAGTTTTGGAAAGTCAACGATGTGGAGAAGAAGAACAAGAAGAGGGGCGAGATTACGCTCTCGGGGAGAGCAGGGATGTTGGTTTTCTACGCTCCGGCT